CCTCGTACAGGACAGGCTGCTTCCCACAGAGCTACATCTTCTCTAGCAGGTACCTGCTAAGTGCGCCCAATTTCCAGCTTGGAGTGTGAAGGTGGGAGAACATCCTTGAGGTGAACATCCTGCATTATACAGACCGACAGGCAATCGCCCACCAGCAGCGATCCTAAATTGAGCAGTGGGACACTGGGGTCTGCTGACTGTCTCTGGTTCCCAGGCTGCTCCAAACCTCCCCTGATGCACTGCAGCCCCGCTGCAATCCCCTAACCAAAGATCTTGGCACGTCACTCAGGAAGATGGACAGTGCCCATCTTACGTGTGTGTCTCTATATGACACGGGCTGTCCCTCAGTGCCATATCTACTCCTGTATTGCACAGGGACAGGTTAGCTGTCATTTAAAAAAACATTTCTTCTGAAAACTAAGCTGTAACTGGGCTAAGGTTGTGCAGACTGTTGCAGCTGCAGTTTGGCTCCTAGAAGTGGTAGGCAGCTCATCCAAGCTTAACATTTGCCCTTCACGTTTTGTTGTCATGGCAGCAGCACAAACCATTGCCTTGCACAGCACTAAGCTGCTTTACTTTGCTCCATCTAGGTTTTAAGCAGGAGAAAGAACCACAGACATAATTTCCCCCCTCTTTTCCCCACTGCCTCCAAACATGTTCTTTCCTCATCCCTTTCCAGAACTGGTGCTGAGGGAGAGGCAGGAGTTCTGTAGGAAGATGGACAGAAAATATAACCTTAGCAAGTGACTGTGCTGTACTGCTTCCTGCTGAAGAGCACAGTAACAAAAGGCTGCTTGCTATAAAAAAGGAATCCAATCTATTAACTAAAGAAGGAATAGCAATGTAAGAAGTAAATATTAAAGATTTTAACCTAAAATGCTCCCCCTGATTTTAACAGAATATGTGCATTTATACCAGGTTAATGTCAAGAAGCAATGTTTCAATGAAAGCAAGACATAGAGAAGCAAATTACTGAGAGCTAACTGCAACCTCAGCTGCTCAGCTAAGTTTCTCAGCACTGTTTTCAAGTTCTTGTAACTTTGTCAAATAGCATGTCTCCTGGTCAGTGTTTCTTTTTGCCCCAAGATAATGTTGGAATGTCAGCAGCCTGAGCAGAAATGCCATGTTCCATAGTTACTCTCTAATGGCAAGAGAATAGGGATGGCCCTTGTGGTCTAAAAGCAATGATGCCAGGCAGAGTAGTCTTCCTGCTAAGACTTCTACTCTTTGCCCTTCACAACACTTAAAATTGCCCAAAGCTGTATTGCAAGTATGAGCAGGCAAGTTCTCACTTCTTCCATTACTTCCATCATTATTTTCATGGAGCAACTAAGATGTTTATGTAAAGATGCTTCAGGTGAAGTTCAGAACAGAATGTTTTCTCCATTTTATAACAAAATTAATCCCAGAGAGGTCTTTCAAATGGGGTGCCCTTGGCTGTGGTGCTGGTAACTTATGGGCATAATTCTCTCCAGATTCAATAACAGCATCAGGAATGTTGTTTTTAATGAGTCCTTTGCTGTCTAGAAAACAGCTGCAGAAGCCATTTGTAAAGTGTGCATTGCTTCCTCTTCTAAGGGTGCTTTTAATAATCTAGTTATATTTCTAATTAAACATTAGTCCCTCACTTTGCCTTTTGTAAAGAACTACAGATTGTGTCTGAATGGCTTTTGTGTGTTCTCCAGTTTTAATTACTGTATTACTGCTATTGTCACAGTATTTGATAACTTATACCAGAGCTCAAAATACTGCCCTGCAATAGCAATAAGCACTGGTTTCCAGCATTATCTAGTTTGACAAGTATTACTCAATTATGGTAACACAATTGGGCTCAAAAGAACGAGAAAATATTGCACTCAGGTCATGTATTGAGGTGAAACAGCTCTGTGTGTGTGTATGTGTGTGTGTGCCGTATATGTGTCTGTATGTCTGTGTGTGTGGTACAGAGGGGAAGGAAGGGGAGTGAACTATGAAATTTCAAAGAAGTGCTTGCGCTAGAGAGCAGAGATAAAGGTGGGCTCATGTTAACTCACCTTCAGAGAAGTCAAACCAACGCTGTTCGCAGAGTCACCAGAAAGGAAAAGATGTTCACAAATGCGGCTTTCTTCCCTTCTTAGGAACTCAGTCTTCCCTCCATCCAAGACAGTGAAATATCTCACTAGTTTCACAGCGTACCCTTCCAGTCTCCCTTTCTCTAGATGGCACGCTGGGACGAAAGGGACCACAGCACTGTACTATGTGCATCAGTCACCTTTTACTACTGTGGTCTCATGAAACAGTCACAAACTAGATTGCCAGAGCTGGGTATCTGCAAGAGCATCCAGCTGTGGGAGGGAGCCAAAAACCCAGTTCCAAATTCCCAGTTCCATCAGTAAAATACAATCAGTGATGCATTAAAAAGAATTACATAGTTTGCATACTCAAATTTGAGGACATTACAGCATATACTGTCTGTCAGGTCATGTACAGTTCATACATACTCCATTAATAATACTTGATAGTTAAGAATAGGATGTCAGCTGATTACAACCACTATAGCATTTTTTTCCTGATATACTTCCCTAACCAATAAAGAAATAATTTTAACAGCTGAAGCTTAGGAGACTTCCTGTGCAACTCTGTAGAACACACAGCCCACATGTCAGCTATACATGCATTTATCATCTATGTTCTACAAATTACAAGTCATAACATAATATTTTAAACAAAGGCACAAAATACCTGTGTCACAGATGTCCGAAGAAAAAGTTTAAGTGATTTGTCTTATCTAAAATAACAATAAAAGTACCCAATCTGGCCCTACTCCAGCTTATAGAAATTATTTGGCAATAAGAACAGACTGTAGGTGATAGCGTGAAAGGTCATAGGAAATCGGGAAAAGCTCTAATAGTGAAAGCGCTGTTCAGTATCTGGTGTTTCACACCCATATTTTGAAACTGAAGGACTAGCTTTTTATCTAAATACAGGTTATCTACTGTCTTGATCTAATGGAGAAAGGCCAACATTATTAGCGGCGGAGAGAGCTGTTGTATTATTTTGCTCTCAAGACAGATCCTTTTTAATAAGTGGCGTAATTCCAGCATAACACGTTCTCTCAGGAAGTTCATCATGCTTTAGACTGCAAAGCTACAGACCTGTGCAACCCAAGGGAGCAGAGAGACCTTGCTGCTTGAGAAATCTTGCTAAGTCAGGGCTTTGCAGTGCTACAGGGTGATAGAACACATTGGTGCAAGTTGCAATTTGTGTGGCATTTCTTTCCAAAGCCAGCAATCAAGTGAAATTATGGGTTAGGACACCCCATGTAGACCTTTTCTGTTGCTTTATCTAGAGAAGGAAAAGACTAGGTCTGTTGTATACTATAGCTGTACAGTTGTGATGGAGACAACTGAGTGTTTTGGCTTGTTCTGTACTCAGATCTTTGCCACCTGAGTAACCACTTAATCAGAAATCACTTAAAACTCCCCTTCTTTTGTTTTTCTGGAATAAGCCTCTTTGGGAAGCACATCACAATACAACTTCCAAACATGCCAGGACTTAAAGGAAATGGTTTTCATTCTGTCCATTGTCACACTGCCTATTATGTAAACTTGGCCATGTGTGCCCAAGGCCTGATTACTCGCGTTGGTATGCCCAATTTCACAGGGCATGCAGAGATGCCACTTCAAGCTTTAGTAAAAGCTTTATAATAAAATAAATGGTATGAAGAGGAGAAGGAACAGTGAGAAACCTTAATTTTGTAGAGCCTGTATGTAAATATATACCAGACCTTTTGTTGGTGCACATTGTGGTGGTATAATCATAAATGCACAATGTTTTAAGCCAGGAATACACCAATGCAATTCAGTGACCTGAAATGCTCTTTCTGTGTATGCTGCTGTGGGAGGATACCCCTGCTAAGGTGATACAGCTCTCTCTTGGCCCTACTGTGGTAAAGCGTGCCAAGACCATGCCAGAAATAACAGGATTAACCTTTTATGCAGTTAGCTCCAGAAGCAGTTAAGTAAATCTGGCATTTGAGCAGTACTGAAATCATGGATAGTGCTGCTACACAAACCAGAAAAGAAACAAAAGCAACCTTAGTTTTAAGTTTCATGAGACTGCTTGCATAACACTGGAAGAAAAAGTGGTAACAATGGAAATACTGGCACATTTTTTAAGAGACCTCCATTAGGGATAAAGAATAGAAAGACACAGAGCCATAAAGAAAACAAAACAACTGGTAAGGTTATGCTAAGATTTTCCAGACCAGTATATGTATATATATATATATATATATATCTCAAATAAAGAGAATATTTTGCAAGCAATATAATTGTCATTTAAGTACTTATGGAAAACACCATCAAAGGAGAGAAAAAAACCCAAACTTTCATTAAGCTTAGATGAATATCTGTTTTATGCAGAAGACAGATAGATGTCAGGAAGTAAGTGACTAATGAAGTGGAACTCTGAGAATCCTTGCCTTAGATAAACAATTATTAGAGAAACATTCGAACAATCAAAATAAATATTTTGCAGAAGCCTAACGGAAAATCCTTTAAGCTATTCATAACAAATAATCCCAGCTAAGCATAAAACAGCAAACATGCTAATGATTTACAGGGGTTCCTTTTTCAGGCTGCTGCTTTAAGCCCCAAATATGTATTTTTACTCCATAGTTAAGTATCTGTGTCTGAAAGGTGGTAACTACATTGGTGATAAATGTGAACGTCCATAAGCACTGCAGAGTCTCGCTGAAACACAGACACACACAGAGCTAAGAAGCCACAGCACTTACAAATGAGCAGCATGCATTAAAATGTGAGTTATTGTTCCACAAAATAACAGCCAGTAGAATTATTTTGAATTATCTTGTTGAAGGCTTGGTCTTCCCATAGCTGCTGGGAGTCCATAGCAATCAGGACAGCTCTGAGCTGTGCACAGGAACAAACTGTTCGGCAGAGGCTGGGCACTGCCTTTAGAAATCAGTGTGTGATTTGTCATCTGCAATAACGACCCACCTGCAGCAGCTTCCTGATTCTTTTCAGGTTGTGTATTAACAGAAGATTCTTCTCCTGTGAAACCCGGTCCAGCTGTTCATCCACTTGTATCAGCAAATTCTGCAACAGGATCGTTGCCATTGCTTCATTGTTGGATGCAGCCTCCCTAAAGAATCAACAATTGAGAACCACGCATGGTTTAAAATGTCATCAAGTATCAATCTATCTGTACAGAAAACTACAATCTATTCAGAAATCTAGGAAGGAAAAGAAAGGCTTTAAATATATGTTGACTTGCACATAGAGGTTTGTGAATGATTGACTTTGTGATCTTTTTTTTATTTATATTCATTTAGATATGCAGCTATAAAGACAGGGTGAGGATGTTCTTAGCACAGCCTATGGAGTCAGCCAGAAGGGAGACAACTGAGGGTTTTCTAGTCTCTGGTCCAGTGAATATTTAATCATTTTTAGCCCACTTCTCAGAGGACATGGGGCTTATGCATGCTGTCCCTCTCCCTCTGCCACTCACACACAGATATCATTTCAAAGTTGACAGTGGGCTCAAAGTCCAAAAGATAGTATGTTCTTACAGATTTCATGTAAAACTGGCAGGTTGGTAGAGGGGAGGAATCCAAATTAGTGCCTCCACTGAGGAAAATGGCAGTAATAACTTGCTGCAGGAGGCAGCAGCCAGATGGCCAGTCAGCAGATATAGATCTTCACACCAGGCACCAGATGAGCCTTTGCCCAGCCAAAATATTTGGGGATACAGGAAGACTCTGCAGCTACTGGTGAAGGGTGTGTAGGGGACAAAGGACACAAACGCAATCAGGCTTTACTGGCTCTGCTGTTTATGGAACATGAAAGGCAGTAACGTTAGTGAGCTAAATAGAGGAAGATAGACTTTGGACTGCATGGCATCCTTGTCCTTGGGATATTCTCTCTCCTTGCTCCACAAATGGCAGATGTCTGGTTTTGAGATATGCATGCTAAATCTGTCGAAAAGAAGATTTTAATGTTTCCCATGTTTCTACAGCCCCATAAACATTGAGCTATAAACAGTAAGGAAAGACTATATTCCCTTCCAGATTGTTCTCCTTTTTTTCAATAGTCCTCCAATAGTCTTGTGGATTTAGCATGAAAAATTAAGATGCCTCTTTCTGGCATGACTAATACAAACTTTGTTTTGACATGTAGTTCAGAATTTTCTCAAGATAACTATCCAATGTGTTTGATGCAAATTTGTGTATAAATTCATCTGTTAGAGAACAATTTCTGCAAATGGCTGGATTGTTCTCCAAGATTATATATCCACCTTTCAGCAGAGACAAGTGAGGAGTTTTATGATGTAAGAGGGAAATATATACATTCCTATTGAAAACTAACTTGAGTTGGTTTTGGTTTGTTGTTTTTTTTTTTTTTCTATGAAAAACCTTTAATGCTGTTAATTTGCTAGACAATTTTTACTGGATTTTGTTTAGGATTAAGTTCAAATGAAGCCTCACCTCCAGACATTCCTTAAATTTAAACCTTGACAGTTCAATGGGCTAAATCCACTCCTAGTGGAATACTGTTCTTGGGGTGCAGAGGCCTGCACAGTTCACAAATGAGCACTCTAAAATCTGGCAGATAATGAAAGAATTAGTCTTGACTGAAATCGTATGAGGGAATAAACTGAATCCTACCAATCTTGGCTTTCTATCCATTGTGCTAGTAAGTGCCGGATTTCCATAGGGAAGTTATCATCATAGAACTGGTCTACCTGCTCCAAAAACTTTATTTCCAGTTGCTGAACTTGACTCCATTGGGACATACTGCAAAAGAGAAGATAAAACATCTTTGCCATTGAAAGGTGAATATGAATTAATAATCCAAAGTGCATTAATCGCTTTCATGGTAGTTCTTGTTATATATTTTAATGTTTCTGTTTATTCTGTCTTTTGAAACAGACAGTACCTGAGTAAAGTTACTCAGATAAAGGGAAGAGGGAGAAAAGAGGGAAAAAAAGAGAGAGAAGAGGGAGAAAAGAGGGAAAAAAAGACAGAAGAGGGAGTAAGACCATTGAAAGAAGTTCTAGCTCTTACACTTGAATGGGCATCTCTGCCAATTTCCTTCCTTAATGTGAAAGTTTTGGGGTGCTGTATGATGCTTATAAAACAGGGAGATTTACACAGTGTCTCTCACCAAGACAGGTTAAGATTGTACTCCTCAAATCCAGGTAAAACTATTCTTATGAAAGAGTAGTAGAAAGCAATAAATTTGCTCCCTTTCTAGTGAACTTATATTGCCCCATTTTTTCCTGAAGCCATAATAGTTGTATGTTACTGTGCTGTTCCTCGAGCCCCACAGATTCTGTTTGGAGAGTACTGGTTTTTTTTTGCAACATAAATTGTTTATCTAGTACATCTTTTCCATTTGTAATTGCCACAGAGTTCTGAGATTTGATGTTACAGAAAGAAAAATAGGAAACGTAAATTCATATGAAAACTATAAGAAAAGCAAGAGCAGAATTGTACTAAGTGTAGCATAAATAGCCCAATGACAGGCTCTGAAATTCTACTGGAAAAGCTATCCCAAGCAAGTTTGGGCTGTTCACTGAGATACTGGAGTTAGGAGCTTGGTTCTCCAGATATTAGCTGGGCTGAATTAATACCTGCTTCTCTCCATGGAGTGAGCAGATTGTTTTGGGTGAGCAGGCTCTCCACGTAGACGCCTCAGCCTGAATGACACTCTCTGCTTAGGAGAATGTTACCTTTCTGGTACCTGCAATCTGGGGTTGCACCCAGTCACCCATCATTAATCCTACAGGTGAAGACACCGTTTTCACTGTGATTTTTTCAATGCAGGAAAGACTAAAGATAACATATTGCCCTAGGGCAGGCAACACCGGGCTGTAATTCTAGATATGGCATGCAGATAAAAGTCAGAGCTGAGAACAGTCCATCATGGATGAGCAGAGGAGAAGGATGCCCTAAAGCCTATGCCCTGGATTATCAATCCTCCAGTGGGCTCTGCCCACCCTGACCCCTATATCAGAGGTTGTCTTCCCTTTAATTAGGGTGTTTGCATTAACAAACTATACAGAATCCAGATATAGTCTGAAGGTTGCACTGCAGTAGGTCAACATAGAATTATAGGATAGTTAGGGTTGGAATGAACCCTGAGATCATCAAGTTCCAACCCCCCTGCCATGGGCAAGGACACCTCACACTAAACCATGTCACCCAAGGCTCTGTCCAAACATATTACATCTGTTTGAACACTTCTCATAGGAATTTTTCTGGAGAAAAAAAAAAAAAGATGAGATTTCATCAAAATTGACATTTTTATGGAAAGCTGACCTTTCCATAAACAGCTTTTCTATTTCCAATTCTGAATCATAGTTTCAGAATGTCAACAGTTTGAAGTAGAGAATACATCATATTTTTAACGCTGTGGTCTTTCATTTTGTGTTTCCTTAAGTCAGAGGGGAAAAAAAATAAAATCATGAAATACATCAAGGTGTAACAATGTCCTGAGTACTTACTCATGCAAAAGTAAAGGTGACAGGTTTTAGTTTCTCTTTAACAAAGGCTGGATGGGATAACTCTATGTGTGGTATGAAGGACACTGTATATAACATCAGTGGGAATGTGCCCAGGGACATTTCTCTCCTCTTTATTAGCTCCATTGAGAGAGGAAAATATATTGCCTAACATTTACCCGTTTCTCTACGTTGCTGAAAAGGAGCAGTGTATAGGAGTGTTTCACTGTCTGCCTTGCTATACTGGGAGTTATAAAGAACCACAGGCCTCATTTCTTGAGGTGCAAGGAACCAAGTCATGGTGTATTAATAACACCCAGAAATAAAATGAAGATCTGTAAGCCTGTTCCCTTTTAGTGTGACGTTAATTGCAATTTCTGGTGATTGTGATATCCTAAAAAGGTAAGTAAGAAAACTCAATATTATTACCTAAAGAAAACAAAGGGAAAAAAGGCGAGATTTTGTGCAGGCTGCAACCCACTTCAGCCTTCTATGGACCAGCGTGCAGGGATGCTCACACGCACGGACACGTGGGGCCAGTTTGTACATGGGGGTTTTGTAACGGTGCTGGGTACAGCGCACACCGGCATACATTTCCCATACACTGCACACAAGGAGTCGCACGAAAAGCTAAAGAAGCCGAGGTAGCTACTGTTTGTTCTGGATAGCCCCCGAAGGCCGCTAGCAGAAGCGGGCGACGTGTAACCGCGAGTCGCAAGAAGCAGGCGGTGTCAATAGTGAGAACGCAGCGGCTGGGTCCCTGCTTCTGATGTGGCCGAGTGATGGTTTAACTGCAGCCGGATTAGCCACCGCTAAACCTTACGCGAGCATCGCCCGCGGCACAGAACCGCGCCGCCGCTCCCAGCCGGAGCAGCCCCGGCCCCGCCGCGCCCCGCTCCCCACTTGCCTGCGCCCGCGGGTCCCGGCCGAGCCCTGCTGCCGGCGGCGGCTGCTGCCTCCTGCCCGCTCCCCGCCCCGCCGCCAGCTTTATGCCGCGCCCGGCGCCGGCGGCAGCGAGCGGCCTTCCTGTGCGTCAGGCGGGGTGCGCCCGTGGGGCCCCCAGCCCGCCCGTGTACCCGTAGGGTTGTGGGGCGGCGCGGTGAGGCTGGCACCATCCGCTCCTGCGCTGGTGAGCGCCGGTTCAAAGGCAAAGGGCTTGGTGAAAACGGCGTGTGCCGTGGCTTTCTGCAGCATCCCTCGTTTCAGGCAGCACCTGGGATGCAGGAGCTTCTCTCCGAGGTTTGGTCCCTGCCCTGAGGAGTTAATGACCCAACATCGAAGCCCTTCTTACAGCGAGGGCTATGGCAGTAAAGACACACTCCAAGTGTTTTTTGTTTGTTTTTTTTTTTCCCTAAAGAAGTACATTATTGTAAAGAGGATTTCTGTAACAGGAGGTACAGTGATGCTAAAACCAAACTGAGTGGAAAATGCTAAATTATGACCATTTCAAATCCATCTTCCCTTGGCACAGAGCCTGAGTGGTAGGATTGTAGCTCCGGTGTGATGTGAAGCAGCTGCAATCTGCCTTAAGAAGGATCCTTTAATCTGACTATTGTTTTACTTCTCATATTTTGTCTCACCAGAAACCTCAGTCTCTAGCAAGGCTTTTCTGCGCCAGGCTGTGCAAACCTGGAGTAAGAGGCATTCTCGGAGAGACTGCTAGGGAGCCAACCGAGTGCTACTACGCTCTCTGTGTGCTGGGAGGAGAGCGATACCTGGTTCAAGTGACAAGCCAGGTGCCGGAGATGCAGTCAAGAGGAATGTGCATGTCCCTACTGAGGAGTAATTATATTTTCCAGTTAGAGCAGAGGGAGAATTGAAAGCGAGGGTAGAAGCTTTGACACATAGCCAGGTTCTAGAAGATGGTATACAGGTGTCAGCAGCTGACCCGTGTCTGAATTACCAGCTGTGTAGATGTCATATTTACTGCGCACATGCTTAAAATGAAATTTGGCTTTATCTTTAATAGCATCCAGCAATTTTTCAGGTGCATTTGTATACAGAGAGCCAGGATCATGAAAGAAGTCTGCAAAATCCTGATTTATAGAGCTGCGTGGTCTGGTTTGTATTTCAATATACCCTCTTTTAAATTATTATTATTTTCTGTTGTATTGTTGTGTATTTGTTCATTACCCTTTTCAAGTGAGATGGGACATAATGTACTAGAGGATTTTCTTCACAATCTTATTTTTTTTCTGAATGACCAGAGTGCAAAATCATGTTTGCTTTACAACTATAGGTATATGAGGCCGGAGGAATGCTGCTGTTGCTCTTCACTACCAGGCACCCATCTAGTCCCAAATTGCATTTTGACTTCTGTAAGTGCCTATTCTTGGTTTTGATTTAACGGAGCCACCACTGGCTCAAAAGAGCTGATACTAGAGCAGAATGACAATATTTTCACTGCCTTTTGCTGGGAACTGAGGACCAGACTGAGTGTCAGACTTGCTGTCTGTCCGAAGAGGTCAGTCCCCAAATACACCCAGAGTTTGGCAAGTCTGTGCTCAGACCTGCCATCTGTCCTCTGTGTTTCAGCAGGCACAGGGAGCAATACAGCCGCACTTCACTCACATTTCTGGTTTTTCTGATGGATATCCTGGCATTTCATTCAGAATACATACACTCACATACATTTTATAACATTCCCGTAAAACTGCATACTATCCTTCCCTATATGCCTATTCCTATCCTTCCCTATATATTCCCTATATATCATCTCAGGAGTCAACTGCAGCTTTGTCAGATTTTGTTCGGCAAATCTTCATCATTTTTTAAGGTAGCTGATTGTCACATTGTACACAGGTAAGCCTGTGTAGGTGCCCTGTCGGGACATTGAATTAGTAATTTGAGGACCACCCAGGAAACGAAACTGATTAGTTATGTGATTTGGTGCTGTCAGTAGGGGGAACTATTGCACTGTACTTTTTTCTTTAGTATGTAAATAAATATTGGTAACCATTTATTTTTCTTTTTAGATTAAGCACTCATTCTCTGAGTATTCTTACATAATTGCTATCCATAATTATAAGACAGGTAGTTCATACCATCCCAATCAAATAAGACGGTAACAGGTTTCCAGTCCCCTTTGTGCCTGCTGTCTCTCTGCTTAACCTAGAAAAGAAGATGTATGGTGGAGTGGTTGCTATTAAGAAGATACTAAGCTCTAATGCAAGTATCTATTACGGCTTGCTCCAAGAGGCCATTAGAAAAAAGCTCAGTTAGGCGTCATTCCCAAAACCTCTGTCAATCAGAGGTCATTCTTCATCTGAAGTTCAGAGATGAGTTTCTGGGAAAATGGTTCTTATTCCCCTCTCCCCTCCTTCCTCCCCCCATTTTCTGACAGGTATGGCAGTAGAAGCAGGTCAGCTGCTGGGATGGAGAGCAGCTCTGGAACAAGCTGTTTGGGATGCAGGGTGATGGATACGAGCCATGGCTGTGGAGGCAGGAGAACAGGGCTGTGATCCCCACAGCAAGGGGCACAAGAGAATGAGTGGAGTCACTTGTGGCATTACAGTGACTCAAGGGGAGCCCTGGGGCTTTACAGAAGCTCACTGGAGACTGTGGAAGGGAAGTGCACTTTACTTGGAGGAGGGGAATAAAAGAGGCTTCTGGTTCTAGGGTGTTAGAGTTGGATCGACAAAGGGGTTGAGTTATGGCTGAGTGTGAAAAGGCCTGAAGTTTGCATAGGAATATAAGGCAGACCGGAGAAGAGGGGGGCTGTTTGAGAAGCACAGGTGGGAGAAAGGAGAGTGTGGAGCAGCAGAGGACACTGTCAGAGGTGGTGAGGGCTAAGAGGTTCCCTTCTGAGGCTGAGGGATGGCTCAGCTCTGTTGTCTTGAAGGAAGGGTCAGTGGAGTGTGTTAGCACACCATGAAGGATGTGATCATGCTTGGAGATGTGAGGGAAACTGCTGTGGAGAAGGACTGAGATGGGAAGAAAGAGATGGTCTAGGACAGCTAGGAAGCTCTGGAGGAGAGCTGTGTGAATAGGATCCTGGAGGAGATGGCGTAAGGCAGGCACTGATTACTGCAGAGCTAACACATGAGGAGGGTGTAAGGGAGGCAGCTGTGTGGGCTGAAAGAAGTTCAGTGAGACACACTGGCAAGGCAGGGCTGGCTGAAATGATGCTTATGAAGTGTGGAAGTAAAGAGCCTAGGCAGCCCATGGAGAGAAAAGGAGTTTCTTCAGCTGCATTGACTCACAGTGGCACAGTGAGGGTGCAGGTTGCAGCCCTGGAGGGTACAGATGGGCACAAGCCATGAAAGGTTCAGACCTCTGTTGAGTTTGGCAGGTCAAGGCTAATATTCACTGTGTAGCATTTCACCCCACTAGTGTTTCAGCACCAGTTGAAGCAGGAGGATAAGAAACAAGCGTCTAAATTGTGTGGGCTGTTTAAAGGGAAGAAAAAGTCTCAAGTGATGGAGAAAGATGTGGTAATCTTCTCATCAAAAGTTCACAAAGTTGTTTCTAGGAACATGGAGTCAATTTATTACTTTGAGCTGTCTGACCAACCTGTAATCAAGATTATCATCTCATGTTTGGCCTCTAGTCATTATACCCATTGACTAACCTTTAATTAGAGTATGTGTCATCTATCTTTTACATAGAGGACTCATTTAGCTTGTACATGCTATATATGCGTTGTGTCTTGTACCTGAACTGTTCGTAGCTTCTCTTCTTACATTCAGAACATGGACTTCTGGTCTCAGTGGGGGTAGGAAACACTGTAATTGTGAGAAACTGTCTTGCTGACAGTGTAGTTCCTCCTAGTCAGCACAGGCTAAATCATCAGTTGTGTGTGCAGGTCACATCCCTTACTGTCCTTTATTTAAAGAAAAGACAGGGACAGCAATATTGTCCTGCAGCTACATGCTGTAGGAAGCTGCTTATGAATACTGGAAAGAATTCTTAGCTCAGTGTTTGTGTGTAGCCAAACGAATGAATGTTATCCTTAGAAAAGATGGGGGGGGGGTGGCTGTTTGGTTTTTCTCATTTGCTGAAAAATTTATCATTTTCCCCCTTCCAGCAATGAATGAACCATGTGTGCAGATGTATAAATCCATGCGAAAATGCTTCTCACCCAATTCAAGATGATATCAGCTAGAAAAAAAAGTAATTAACTTGCCATGTGGAGAATAACAAGAAATCAGGAGTTACAGAAAATGAAGGTTTCTCCCACTGAACTGGACTTAGGTCTCTGCTTTTGTGGCAGTCTGGCCTTTTGATACTGCAGTATCGAAAAAAGCTGTGCTTTTTGGGCAGGTAGAGGTAAAGCAACCACTGAGCAGTGCAGGAGCAGGTCAGAACGAGTGCCTTGTAGGTAGAGGACTTCCCTTCTGAGGCTTTTTGCTGTGACTTGTGCCGGTGCCCAGACCTCTTTGGCCCTAATGGAGGGTTCATTCCCACTGCTGCTGCTGGGGAGAGGATCTTCTGCACTGGTTCCTAGCAAGGTCAAAGCCAGATGATCTTCTGTCAAGCTGGGACACCAGGAGTTCTCTTCATTTATTGTTATCTTTGAACAACAGGCTGTTGCATGCCTTGTTTATTGTTTTACATCTTGATGTCATATTTGCAGTCCTGCACTGGGTGGTTTAATGTGTACCCTGGGAAAACTCAGAGGTATTTGCTCTCAAGAGGAAAGATTTGGATATTCTGGTGAGTTTTTTCTGTAAGGGAGGTACTTCTCTAAGGAGAAAGAAGCCTGTGCATCTCTCTTGTAAAAGTTAAGGCCAATACCACTCGGGGTCCTACAGTCACCACACAAACTTACACACAAACAAAATTAAGGTAGAAAGAGATTACCTGAATGCTAATCTGTCATTGCTTACGGAAAGGGCACCTGTGAAGAAATGGAGGAAGCATGGAAAGAAGTGAGGGCAAAGAAAGTAATTTAGAAGAGCAAGGAGAAGGAGAGGAACTCAGGGGCCTTGTATTAATTACCTTGTATTGTAAATGAAACTTCCTTTTGGTAATGACAGGCTGCATTGTGCAATATCATTGTATATCTGCTTTGCCTGGTTATCTCTTCCTGTAACTACTTTTTTCATCAATTTTCAT